CGTGATTTATATCGGCAAGGCATGAGACATATCTGCATCACATCAATAAACCCAGATGGAGTATACCAAGATTCGAAAAGAGTATCTCAAAAGGAATCAACCTACTAAAGATGTAGAAATGGTGAAGCTAGATAAGGGATCTGCATGCTGCATTTGCTTTAAAAAAAACATATTGACGATAATAAAGGCTACTAAGTTTCTCTCTAAAGAATTACTGTGTTTTTGTTTTTTGTTTTTATGTTAACATTACGTAAATACTCTACACATTAAAAATAGGAATCAAAATATCCTTTAAGATACCTTGAGTGTTAAGCTTCCCCAAAGCTCAATAATTTCCCGCGAGATCTTCTATCGCCCTATTTTCCAACTGTTGATCCTTGAATCTCGCCCGTACTCAATTTTCAATTGTTGATTTCGATTATCATTTCATGGGATAGCTCTACGCAAGCTCTAACTCTGCCCACATCAACAAAAATTATCATCATCTCATTTCTACAATTAACCGATACTTTATATATTTAAATCGATTTGGCATTTCTATAATTAACCGATACATTATATATTTATATCGATTTGGTTTCCCTGGGCCTGATTGATGGAAATGAAACTGACCTTGAGAGAGGCGATTGAATGTTTTGATTGATCAAAGCACCAAATCCAAGAAATACACCCAATTCTACTTGGAATGTTTGTTCCATTCTCGTGAGTTCTTGGCGTACAGGCTAGACCTACCTGAGCTCGAAATGAGAAAATATAGCAATTTGGTGTCAAATTTATGCAAAGTGAACTCATTTTTTTCGTTAATATTTAGAATATAAGATCGTCTTTCCATCCTAAATTATTATTGATAGTCGTTATTAGCGGTACAAAACGGAGGATCCCTTTTGGCTTATGATATGAATTTCGGGAAACATTTCCAGAGCCTTCTATTACATAACTATGAATTTTTTGATGTGAAACAACCATTTTCCTCCGATTATTATTAGGAAAATAATTCAAATACCAGAAGACCAAAAAGTCTAAAATCACAAACTCTTTTACATACTCCTCCGATTGCTAAATATCCTTAATAATGTCCATTTCACCTTAATCATCATCATGGCCTCCTCCTCGGATTCTTGCAACATCAATGAGAAGATCTTCGATCATACAGTTTCTGGTCTTGATGGTAATCCCACGAAATTACCAAGAAAGTGGTGGTTGAGTAAGAAGAGCTGATCCATTGTGGTCTTGAGGCTTTGTGCATCAATTTTTTTGGCCGAGCACTAAACATATGCGCACTATGGATTCTATACTTGCGTACTTCGATGCTAAGAACTGTTATGTGCTCACTTGCATCTCTTTTGCCTATCAAATATTAAATCCAGCAAAACCAAAATTGATTGACAATTTGAACCCACAAATTTCAAAGAAAATATATTGTAGAAAAATGAAAATAGAGAAAGTTAGAAATCTCTTTTTAAAATCTCTTTTTAACCAAAAAAGAAAAACAAAAAGTGAGAAGTCTTTTTTTGTATGAAGTTTTGGGAGTTGCATAGTTAAGGAGGAATGATATTAAATGAATAAGGAAGGAACATATAGCCTAGACAGAACCAAAAGTCACGTTTGCTAGAAGATTACATGAAGAAGAAGAGGATATCATATGATCAATGATACTCACATCGTTTTCACTTTTATCAACAATTCCTGCCATTGGGTAAGGGTTAGCGATAGCATGTGTGAATACTCATATTAGTTATTATGGTATTTCTATAAGTGAAGCTGTCAAATCGGATAAGAAAATTGAAAATATCACAATGAATCTAATAAAGACAGAGTAGTATTGGCTAATTGAAGAATCGAGGCAGAAATCTTTACCATATTGAAAATGCATGATTCCAAGACATAGACGCAAACATAGTGTAACGCCCCGACCACTCCTTAGGGAAAATCCTCATCCCCTCAGGAGAAATCCTCATCTCCCAAT